ATATGTAAATACGGGGTTTACAAACCATTTCTTGCGCACTACTGTTCGAACACTCGAACACCTAAACGGATTCTGCCGCACAGTGGCAGATATGTAAATACGGGGTTTACATACCATTTCTTGCGCATTACGGTTCGAACACCCGGACACGGCAATCAGAAGAGTATTTCCAGATGCAAGACATCGATTATGTAATTGGCATCTTGGGAAAAATGCTGTTTCAAATGTTCACATAAGTGGCTTTGCACATGCTTTCAAGCAGTGCATGGACATGGAAACGGATGAGACAAAGTTTGAGCATGGCTGGACGACAATGGTCGAAGAATTTGGACTTCAAACCAACAGTTGGGTGTTGGAGACATATGAGAAGCGTCATATGTGGGCTAAGGCATATATGCGTGGACATTTCTTTGCTGGGATGAAGAGCACTCAGCGCTTGGAATGTATGAATGCTTATTTCAATCCCTTCCTCCAACACAAATTGAAGCTCTATGAATTTGTTAGGCACTATGATCGGGCTCTTGCAAGGATAAGGTATAACAAGGCTGGAGATGATGTTGAAACAAATAACACTTTTCCGGTATTAATTACTCCATTGCGAGATATAGAGAGACCTGGAGCTGAGCTATTCACCCGAAATATATTTAGAATGTTCTGTGATGAAATCTTAGAAGAGGGGAAGTTGAATGTCAAGGACGTGTTCCCTTTGCCGGATGGTCAGAAATGCTACTATATTCATAAGTACAAAGTGAAGGACAAATCATGGATAGTAACACACAATCCAATGGATGCTGCAATGAGATGTTCTTGCATGAAGTTTGAGTCATTGGGGCTACCTTGCTGCCACATGATATGTGTTATGAAAGCTGAAAATTTAACGAAAATTCCCCCAACTTGTGTGCTACATAGATGGACAAGGGCTGCAAGCAAGGATAGCCAGCAATGGCCTCAACCCTCAATTGATAGCACTACAACACAGACGGCCCGGTATGGGATATTGTGTTCTTCCTACAACGAAATGTGTTTCTATGCCTCGCAATCAACGGAAGGTTTCAAAGAGGCTAGGGATACATGTCTTCCGATGACGAGCCGGATGAAGGAGTTATATGAGAGGAATTTGAACGGTGGGAATGGAGACAAAGGGAAACATTCATTCCGTCGACAATTTGGCGTAGAAGATCCTGATGTTGTGAAGACAAAAGGGACCCCAGGACGGGCCTCGTCCAACTGTCGAAGACCAAGAAAATGTGGGAATTACAAATGCATTGGGCACACAAAGCGAACGTGTCCTAAGGTTCGCTTTAGCCGAACAGTGGGTACTAAGTCAGATGCAGATACACCCCACATAACTGACCGTGAGTACAATGCGGAGTCATTGCCCGTTCAATGCAAAACTGGGTTGGTGGATCCAAGTACACCGCACATTAAGCAACAGCGACTATTTTTCAATGTTTCTCCTGATTCCAAGCAGCCTGTGGGCCAATACGGTAGTGTTGAAGCAGCAGTGTGGAAAAATGATTCGAACACAATTGATGAGGTGAATCAGGTAATTGTATAATTTGTATGATTTACTTATTCCCTTAGCTATTGAAAACACATGGAAATAATGTATGTAGTTTTCATTTTGCACGGATTACTGTACGTAACGTGTAAATAATTGGTTATGTACAATGCCAGGAAATGGCACAACGTTACTTATGTACAAGGCCACGAGTTGTAAATTTCCCATATTGTTTAGAGTGATGTTGTCATTTGTGTTTGCAGTGACTTGTCATTTTCAAAACTAACTGAAGGTGAGGTGAGATATATATGGGTTGTCTGTGTGTTGTTTTGGGTGGGAAATTGGCTTATGTCTGTATTCCAAGATTCCTATTGCGGGTTGCTTGTTTCTGTTCCATATTTGGTTGGATCTAACTGAAGGGTTTTTTGCGGTGTGGTTTAGCAACTAATGATGTGTTTGGCTTCGTATTGATTTGTTATGACTTGTGTCGGTAAATTAGTATTATATTTCGAGTAAAATACGAATTTTGTCCAAGTGGGTTTGCAAAATTACATACCAGCACATGCATTTTGTATATAATCCAAGTGGCAGTTAATTTTGGGTGTTACTTGGAGAAAGTAACCCAACGAGCTCATTACTTTATCTCCATGCCAATTGGTATATGAATTACGAGTTACGAACAGGAGTTGTGAAATTATTTAATGTTTACTATGGAAGTATGGGTTTATTGTTAGTAAAATTATGGTGGACCTATATCGATAGCAACGAAGCAGTAATTTAAAGTTGACAAGTTCAAGAAGAAAATCAAGCAATTGTGGTATTGGTTCAAATGCCTGAAATGGATGAAGACTTCTTTCGATGAACTGATGGTAACAAAGTAGAAAGTAGAAAGTAGAAAGTAAGTTGTTGTGTTGTTGTGTTGTTGTGTTGTTTGTAACAAAGTAGAAAGTAGAAGGGAAAAAACTACACAGAAGTTACAATGTAGAAAGTAAGTTGTGTTGTTGTTCATGTCCTCTCTCTCTGCAAACATTCTGCCCTTTATAGCTATAAAATTCCCACGACCCCATGATCTGCCAATTCTGCAGCTGCTTCTGTGCAACTTCTGTAACTGCACGGTCATTTCCGTGTATTGAAACCACATAAAAGCTTTCACTTGTACCTGTCGAAGTGCATATAATTGAAGTTGCCACCTGTGCCCAGGTCCTTTTAGCCTTTCCTCGACAGATACAGACTCCCAATTCGTTCATGTTTCCTCTTGGAGGATGGCCACTAAATCCATGAGCACTGCCAGTAACTACTCCAGCGTGTAAGTCAGGTGGCATGCAAGATTCAATGTTAGTTGAATGGAGCAGCTGTTGGGAGGATATGGGAAAAATAGGTGAAAAGAGGAATTTTTAATCTAATATCCAATCAGAATGTAGCTGAAAATATGAGTGAACTTTTTTAAAAAAAAAAGTAGTTCCCATTTTTTTGATTATAAACCCGAGATGTATATTTTGTTTTTAATATAAATAAGTTGTGTATTTTCGTTACGTAAAATGTAGGACAACAATTGTGTTTAAGTCATTACAATACAGAAAAAGGTTATTTCAAACATATTTTCAAGTTTACCGACATTGAATATATTTTGATTAAATTACAGGGAAAATTCAATATTTGGCAGAGTTTGATGATTCATAGTCAGGGGCAGTAACAGTGAGTGGCCAAGTGTTGCGGTTCAGTGGCCCAGTTTGCAAGGATTGTGGTTGTGTTTAGTGGACAATATTCTGTCGATTTTTGTCTCATAATGATGAGGGACATGCCCCACAATGTTGAAAAGGAAGGTCGACAAGGAAGAGTCAATATTTGGCAGAGTGGACTTGAAGATTCGAAGTAAGGGGCAAGTTACAGTCGCAGTTATGGTGTAGACGTGTGGGATCATGCAATGATGGGCCACAAAAATAGTATACGGATATCGAAACCAACGATCTCCGTTCTAGATATTCCAAGTATACTAAACCTCCACTTCTATCTGTCGATCTCCCTTTTCTTGTGTTTATTTCATGGCCACCAACTGTTTGAAACTTCTGTCGACAGAGCAAGGCTCCTGCTTTGGCTCATGCTTCCTCCTGAAAGTATGCCCACTAACTCATAATGATGAGGGACATGCCCCACAATGGTGAAAAGGAAGGTCGACGGGGAAGAGTCAATATTGGTTTTCAAGGGACTTGAAGATTCGAAGTCAGGGGGCAGTTACAGTGGCAGTTATGGTGTAGACGTGTGGGATCATGCAATGATAGGCCACAAAAACAGTATACGGATATCAATACTAAACCTCCACTTCTATCTATCGAGCTCCCTTTTCTTGTGTTTATTTCATGGCCACCAACTGTTTTAAACTTCTGTCGACAGAGCAAGGCTCCTGCTTTATCTCATGCTTCCTCCTAAAAGTGTGCCCACTAACTCCATGACTGGTGGTAAAAACTTCCCCTATCACTTCTAGGTGATCCACATGCAGAGAGCCCACTTTCAGGTCGTGGACATTCCTTCAGACTTGGCCACATGCCCTCGATTAAGTGGACCATCTGTCGATAGAGACTGGCAAAACTTGGTGCAAACAATGGCCCCCATGTTCAAGTTAAATATTGCGGAAGTGATTGAGACCCCCTCCAATCACCACCTGCCCCCCCCCTCCCCCCCCCCCACACACACACGTGGGGGCTGCTGATTGGAGAAGGAAAAAAAAAGAAGAAATTGAAAAAAAATAAATAAATAATGGCCAATCAGAGAGAGAGGGGGTCATGGGGGTCCCCCCTTGTGAGGGTCCAAGTCATATGATATTTAACTTCAACGAGAGGGCCATTGTTTGGGCCCAATAGCAAATTTCTTAATACGGGCCCAAAACAAACATAAACTACAGCCCAATATAAGAGCTTTTAAATATACTGGCCCCATCATAAGCTATAAAAGACCCACCCTTTCAACTTCAAACCACTTCATTTCCCTCTGATTCGAACTCCCCAGACTGTACTCCTTCTTCTCAACCATTGCCGTTCAAAACCAGAGCACCACAAAACCCTAAGCCATGGCACCGAAAAAATCTCAACCATCTCCAGCTGAGGAGAACAATGAAGACCTACTCCGCTTCCCAGACCCTATCAGAGCACGTATCGCTCTGCTAAAATTTGGTGCAACCCTATTGCCCAGCACAAGCTCTGTCGCTAAGGCTACTCTAGGCCCTACCTTCGCGTCTTACTTCCCAGACGAGCTAGCTCCATACTATCCCCTTGGTAATGGTGAGAACCTTCTTCTCAACCAAACTGGACTCAAGTGGACTAACTGGAATGTCAGCAAAAACCCACTCAGAGGGTGGAGGTCACCAGACTCTGATTGGCGAAGCTGGGCTAGGAGAATTGAAGGTCACGACGCTGAAGTATGGAAGCACCAGGGCATTGCTGAAGCAATTAGACTGTCGACTAAAATTTATGACGTGGAGAAAGGGCTGATTGCTGCTGCTGCATGCTTTTGGTCGCAGTCTAGTAACTCCCTACTCCTCAATTTTGGTATGATTTCCCCTACCATCTTAGATGTAGCTCACTTGACTGGTCCGCCAATCTTGGGCAATCCAATTCATGCTCTCCTTGAGCCTCCAAAAGTGAGCTTTACTTTAAACACTGACATGTGCTATACAGATTTTGCCAAAAAATACAAAGGCGAGCCTAGTTCCCCTGTCGATGGTCAGGGGCAGTAACAGTGAGTGGCCAAGTGTTG